CTTCTTATGTAATAGAAGCCATCCTTGGGAATGACGACAGCAATTCTGTACCTTCACTTTTGATATTGTAGAAGGCAGCGGAATCTGCGGACTACCCATCGAAATCGGAAGGTGCAGAGGCATTCTACCCCGTTTCCACTTTGACGCTAGTACGGGAACCTGCGAGTATTTTGAATTCGGCGGATGCGGTGGCAATGGGAAGAATTTTAAAACTGAGGCGGAGTGTTTGGCAAACTGCAGTAGTGCAGTAGGTAGGTTGGTCTGATTTAGTCTGCCCTTAGCATGCACAAACTAGATGTACTTGAACAGAATGGGTTAGCTGATTTGATGGAACTTTTTGAGCCTTGACCATTGTGTTTTTGTACAAGTTTCGCGACAATTGATCAATTCCGTTTTGCTTTGACCTGTTTTGCTTCCTTAGCTTGCCGTTTTGATTGAAGTTTAAATATAGTTGGTTTATATTGAAAAATATCTAGCTTGAAGGACAAGAACTGCCTCCTTTAAGTTTAAAAATTTTACTTTTGCAGTTCCTTCAGGCCACCCAGAAAGTCCGGTTGATCCAGTCCGTTGTGAGTTGACCTGTTTTCTTTTCTCTACATGCCGTTGTTTTCGAAGCATTAGGACAGTCGATTTGTTCTTGCCGCATTCAGTCCTGATGTCTTTCATAAATCGGAACCATTAAACTGTCTGTTTTCTTTTTGCAATTTTGTTCATCTTGCATCCCCGCCTCGTCACACCCCTCGCTTTTGCGATTCCTGTTCTGTGTTGTATATGGCAGCCGGGCGTTGCTATAATCACGACTTCGCAAATAGCACTTATCTTTTATGCATACAGTGCGACTAATTATTCCCCTTAATGCACTGTCAGTGATACTTCCTATCAGCCACATTTTATTGACCGGTTTTGGTGAAAATTAAACCGTACCTACGGTTGTGGAAGGGAGATAACTGGTTCTCTAAATGTGGCCAATGTCCTTTGGACACAAGTAGCCGAAACCTCTGGACTCTGCACGTGCTAAAACTATGTAAACAATAAAAACATTAACTACGCCACATACGCATTACTCCTCTTCACATACAAGTGCAATTCATATCTTCTATTAGACAATTTTATCTACGATCCCCCGGGTGACTATGCGTGAAGTTTACTATTAAATATGTTTACATGTGCATATGCTACTCACAATTTTATAGTAATGTGTTAATTTGCTATAGACTATATTTGCATACAGTCCTCAATAGGGTCTCAAAAACATTGCCTACTACTCTTAATATACTGAACTATGAATAATGTGCTTCGCTGATCTAGTAAAGGTATAATTAAGTTCCGCTTTGCCCAGGAGCTCACAATTTGAGTCCGCCAGACAGTCATATAGTGTCGCCGAGGTAGAGTGTTAAACACAATGACCAAAGGTCACAAGTTCAAATCTAGGGAAGTATGACTGACTGATGACGGTAAACAAGCCAAAAATGGCTATTTCAGTATCCCTTTGCTTTATTGGACCCACTCCATACTGAACTATGTCTGGCAGCGTTCCCCGCCCACGCAATACGAGGGTTTACTAACAGCCACATGAATACAAGCAATTGGTAGTATTTTATAGTGTTTATCCTTCATTACAGTCCTATTTGATGTCTGCTTGCCGCCCGCCGACAAGGGTCCATGCAAACGAAACACTATTCGCTATCACTTTGAAAGATCAAGCGGTGGCTGCAAACAGTTTATTTACGGTGGCTGCCGCGGCAATGGAAACAGGTTTCGTTCCGAGGCAGAGTGTCTGGCAACATGCAAAAGTTTGGGTATGCGGTTTTTTTTAAACTATATCACTGATTTACGCAGACAATATGCACTTTTAAAAATTCTGTCAGTTGACTTGCTGGGAGTAATCGAGCCCTCGCCGGATCTTCAGTTTCCTCGGCATGTGAACATCAATTCTGCCTCTTCGGAAGGGAAGCAAGACGACACGCAAAGACCCACTTTGAACCAAAGCTGAGCCGTCAGTATGTGCAATAAATCCGTGCTCTTACCTTAACGTCCTGACTCGTTGTCTAAAATACGCTTCACCTTTTTAACTCACGCTGCAAAAATACCTGCTGCGGTAGCGCTACACATGTTCACGCCTGATCTTGAAGGTCACCTTTCAGAGGAAACGCGACTGCGTCCTTCTAAGTTATAGAATCATGTCAAAAGATGAGGTTTACAGACTCTAAGTTGGCACTTTGGTGACTGTGGCCTCGATTTCAGATGTATATTTTAAAATATAACTGTCTTCTTCAAATTTAAGTGCTGAAATGTCCAATTCTGTAGTTTCCGTAGATGAATAGGAACGTCAGGGCACTCTTCCCGCGCCGATTAACGATGGAGTTCATTGGACGTTTGCGTGTTTTGTTTCGCTAACCTTGCGTTTTATTTTACTATTGAATGCAGATGGCTCTTGTTTAAGCGTATTTATTTTAGAGAAACCTATCAATTTTTTTTAAATATCAATGATAAATGTTTTGAAAAACATATGTTTTTAGCAAGTCATCATCAGGCCACATCATTTGCAAGGTAATGAAATCTGTATAGTT